CACCCCTGGACAAAGGGTTTTCCACCGCCACTCTTTTCACCGTTTTTCCACCACTTTCCACACGCAGGGGCACACGGCATCCATGACCTACCGTGTGCAACGAAGCTGCGGTCATGGATGGGAAGGGAAGGCTGATCACCTTCCTGTACCTGCTCCCAACACACTGACTCCAATGGTCCACCCTGCCGCTGTTCGTTGGTTCAATGGTTCTTCATGCTACCACCCCCAAACCCACCGCAGCCTTACAGCCGACTTGCAGCCGCGCTGAGTGTCCGATCGTCTTTTCGAGTGCCACTGCAAGCAAGGTTAAACCATACTGTTTTCACTGACCTTTGCGCCCTGCGGTTCTTCGCCTTTCTTCCCATCGGGAAATTGAGTTAACTGAATACAAGTGTCAGAGTGTGTGTGTGCTTACATCACAGCAAAATTGGTAAACACTTGCACTAAGATGTCCCCAAACAAAACTCCAGCAGAAGAGAGTTGACAGCTGAGACACCTTTTTTGGGGAGGCGGCCGCGGCGGTGCCGGGCTGGGGCGCACTGGGCCGCTGGGAAGATGCCACGTGCGGGGCCGAAGAAATGAGGGACTGACTTGTTGGGTGACACAAATACTCATCCTGACGAACAAACAAGACTAACGTTGCTTGCCTGTAGAATCATTTCAAGTCCTTTCGCTATTCTTACACAACACCATAAGATTGAAGCGTCGCACCAATCCCAACGGATCTCTACGCCTTTGCCCCGTCCACCACTGGCCCTTTTGGCCGGTGGCCGGTCGGGTCGAGGACCTCCGCGTCCGAGAGCTTTGGACGTGTGATGGCGCGACTGTGTGTCCCGGCGACGGAGTCGGAGGACGCGCGGACGCGCCGTGGGACACACCGAGGTGGTGGGTGACGTTCCGACGTGTGTCGGGCAGAATGGTTTGGGGTGGTTTGGAAGGGGTGGTTCCGTTCACCAGGGGGGGAACTCTGGAATGCTGTTCAGGAAGGGTAAGAAACATCAGCACAATCTCTGAGGATCGTACATCTACCATGTTCCGTTCTTAATGGACAAAACTGGTTGATAATTGGCTGCAGCAGGAAGTCTTCCAAGTTTTTTTTGGAAGGCATTTTAGAATTTAGAAGTCTTTCCACATCCAAACACAAAGCTAATGCTTGCCACATCCAAACATGCAAACTTGGAAGTGTATTCATGGCGTTCAAGGGCAGTGTCCAATCAAAAGAGCCTTTCGAATTTCAAAGCAGCAACTCCCATGCCCATGTCCTTCTCACTTTGTTTGCCCATGAGCACACCTGCAGCCGCAGACCCGTGGTCCTGTCACTATGGTTGGTGCAATCGTCTTATGTACCCCCCCTGTGGCTGTTCGTCAACTCTCAGGTGGCCGGAGAGAAGTGGGGAGCCCCAGCGTGACCACAGCATGACCGCCGTCGGCCACAAAGACGGACACGATGTGAGGCCTTGGGACTCCTATGGCACACGGCCTCTTGGCGATTCATTGTGGTCTTGTGGCTCTAGTCTCGTGGGATGTAAGACTAGTGGATCGTGGTCTTGGGACTCCTGTGGCTCTATGGGATTGCGGACTGCGGTATCTTGACTCATTTGGCATTGAATGAGCCTGAAGAGCCTGGAGAATTCTTCGGACTCCGCATCAGGGGAGGATCTTGGGAGGATTTTTTGTTTTCTGTTGGACTCCGCACCACCCCAACGAGCAACAAGAACACGGAGTGGGGCGGAGCCGCGAGGTTCGTGGGCTGCTGGGAGGCTTGGAAAGCGAGGATATGAGTGGGGCACCTAGCGAGATGATGAACAGGACTTGTGTAAAAAGAAGTGTGGAGGGGTAGAGCTGGCAGAGTTTATTGCCTGATCAACATCTTGGGGTGAGACATTTAGACTCAGATACCCTGAACAATAACTAATATCTATCTATACAGTATACTCGTACTTTGGAATAGCTGGTTGAGGATTGGTTGAGGTTCTACACTGAACCTGTCCACTGTAATTTGGCCGCACATGTGTCAAAGACTGTCTATACAGTAGTATGTGTCGAACAGAGAGACTTACTCCGGATGGATGTTTATTCCAATTGGACATTGAACGTGATTATATGATATGTTAGCGAACAACCATAGGACCTTGAGACCTTGAGACCGAGAGCCCTTGGGCAATGGGCAGTCTAAGCTGACTGACTGGTGTTGTGAAATGTTGTGAAGTTCTTCAGACTTTGGGTATCTTCCCTACTAGTAGCTTCGTGATACTAGTAGTAAGGCACTTAGCGTTTCTTTTTTATCTACCCTCCCTGAAAAGAATCATGGAAGCCCTTGATGTGACCCCAACATTGACGATCATCATCCCTCTCACTTGAAACATGGATGAACAGAAGGGGCAATGATGATGGGCCAAATGAAAAGGCCCCGTTCCAGCTGGTCCACCACGGCCCATGAATCATTCTACAGAAACCGTGATGAGTACTTATAGCTTATAGCCATTGCAGGTGTCTGGATGGCACATGCTATTGCCATTGCCATCGAAAGTGCCTTCAGCTCTTCAGCCTCGCTCCGCTCAGCTTCTTCGGCGGCCTCACCCGAGCGCTTGCGTCGGGGCGCTCGGGCGAGCGTGCTGCCGGCGTTCTGCGCTCGGATCGGCGAATGCAGTTGAGGGAGTTGGAGAAAGCAAGGAACGACTTGAGGGAAGGCAAAGAACTGCTTGGGGTGGCGGTTTCTTCCCACTGGATGGCTAGAAGCGCCTTGATTTTTTTTGGCAAGGGACTTTGGAGCCATGTCTTTGTGTGTTGGTGTGAATATGGAGACCTTTGAGCATTGCAAGTGAGTGATGAGTCCAAGGGGGGCCGACATGA